ATGAGAATTATTCACAACGCTAAATATCTTTCTGATTGTGAGGAAAATTCAATGCTCAGATGGAAATATTTAAAATTGACAAATTTCTTATGAATTCAGATAAAACAACTGTCGCATTATTTTCACAATTTCACAGTTTCACATGGCTCGTTGTTTGTAGTCATGAGAGTAGTTGATTATTAGCTGGAATACCGAGTTGACGTGTTATCGATAAAGGTGCGTTCCGAATTTTTGGAAAGTATTTGATAATCGCCAGAAAACATTGCATCAAAAGACTTCGAGGGTTCCTGAAAATTGATTCGTTCATACAGAGTGTATTATTCCATTTTTGTGAACGATCTGAAAATTTTTGTTTAAAATTTCCTCTTTACTTCGCACCATGTGTGCAAATTACAGGCTGAATTTCAAGTCTTTTCTCCTTTACATTCAGAAATTCCCTTCATACACACGTCTTTCTCAGTCGCTATGAGATATCTGTCCTCGTCGAAGTTCATATAGACAAACTGATTGCTGACACGATGGTATGTATTAAACACCAATGGCTAACCTTATTTTGATGAAATAGAACGAATCAACGTATGCTTCTGTGTATTGATCTGAGAATAATTTCTTAAGCAGCACGACCGTTCCGTGCGGTGTTACGTCGAGTGTTAATTGATCGAATTCAATGTCCTCAAATGACCAGTTTAATTTCTTCCATTTTAATGTCCTCATATTGAGCATACTAACAGAACAATCACTTTTAAAATCGCACTCTACAGAGACCACGGCCGGTGGTGCTGTTTCTGATATCACCCATAAGCAACCGTCACGTTCCACGTGTTTCACCTGAAATTTTGTGCCTGTTTCAGATAGCAAATCCATCACGGGCGAATAAGCTGGGTTTCTATTCAGAGTATTGTCTTATCAGTTTTACGCTGCTTTATATTTTAGTTTATCGGTGTTTCACAAGCGGTCCAGTAATTCCAGAATTTAGCCTGTTTTTCGATAACTTTTATGCACCGGTGATAACTGATGTTTGTTTGAGTTCGAGGGCACACTGAAATTTGAACGAACCCTATGTGGCATGCATCCGTAAGTATCCTCGGGAAAACATTCGGCTTTATCGAACTCTGTGTTGACCACTTCAAAGCGACCATATTTTGTATCTGTTCGTAGCAAACGTCCCGTTAAGCATTTTCCTTCTTCACTTCCATTTCTTGCCGTTTCGAATAGGTAAATGTGATCACCGTACACCCATGGTTGGCCTGAACCTTTTTTAAATTGGTTTCTATGTTACTTCCTAGTCTTTAGTCTCTTCATTTCTGTATTATCGTAAAATTTTCACCTGA